CGTGTATAATGTGCTTCAACGGAGCCGGCATACCTCCCGTGCCTGAATGAATGGGTCTCTGAGTCAGGGTGATGCCAAGGACGTCTGTGAGTGTGCCGACATGGCAGACAACGCCTTAATTAATTACTGACACTCTGCATGCCCTGTGGTACCCAGTACGACTGACGTATTTGGTCTACCTACCTGGAGTATACCTGGAGGTTATTCCGGGGATCAACGCCCCCGCGGCCCGGTCCACACCCAGGCCTCCCGGTGGACCAGGGACTGATCAGCCAGGCTGTTACTGCTGGCCGCACGCAGTCCAACGTACGAACCACAGCCCGGCTGATCCGGCATTAACTTTAGGTATCTGTCCAGCTCACTCTTGAAGGCAGCCAGGGGTTTATTGGTAATTCCCCTTATGCTTGGTGGGAGGCTGTTGAACAGTCTTGGGCCCCGGACACTTATGGTGTTTTCTCTTAGTGTACCAATGGCGCCCCTACTTTTAATTGGGGGTATTTTGCATCGCCTGCCCAGTCTTTTACTTTCGTAGAGAGTGATTTGTGTGTGCAGATTCCGGACCATTCCTTCTAGGATTTTCCAAGTGTAGATTATGATATATCTCTCTCTCCTGCGTTCCAACGAGTACAAGTCAAATGCTTCCAAGCGTTCCCAGTAGTTTAGGTGCTTGACAGAACTTATACGTGCAGTAAAGGATCTCTGTACATTCTCTAGATCTGCAATTTCACCTGCTTTGAATGGAGATGTTAATGTATAGCAGTATTCCAGCCTAGAGAGAACAAGTGATTTGGAAAGGATCATCATTGGCTTGGCCTCTCGTTTTGAACGTTCTCATTATCCATCCTATCATTTTCTTTGCACTTGTGATCGTGGCACTGTTGTGATCCTTGAAAGTGAGATCTTCAGACATTACTACTCCCAGGTCCCTTGCAGTGTCTGTACTTTACTGTGTGACGCTCGTCGGTGGGCGTCATTATTAATCAGCCACGTCAGCCAATGGCGTTTGGGTATTAAGACAGGAGGTACAGCGTCTCATGGTAGGGAGGAATTCTGCACCTCCAGGCACCTCATTATATTCTCGGCATCCAGGTAAAGTCCCAGGTTCCGGGTTAAGTCCGGTGTCTTCACTGACTGACTCAAGCTCTTCAGGAAATCAAGGCCAGCTGAGAACTTTTCTCACTGAAAGGACTTATCCTGTTCCCTGGAGGCGTAGGGATGCGTGGACATGAGAGGTGGGGATCAAAAGCCTGTCTATTGTGGAGTAATTGGACCCATCAATGTGATGAGGCCTGGTCTCAGACCGAGCCGCGGGGGCGTTGACCCCCGAAACCCTCTCCAGGTAATGCGTAACTAGCATGAGATGAGGGTACTGTGGTGGTCGGCCCTCAGGCAGTAACCCGACTCCGTCCTGAAGGGGTCGGGTTACTACCGTCAGTGCCGACCGGAATAGACAGTAAGAGAAAATTAGCTCAAAGACACCAGTGAAAATAAGTCACTTTGTCTGACTTTCTTGAGTTATCGTAGGTAATCTACACATATGCTACTGTATATGCTAATTTATGTTACTGTATTGATGTGTACCTGTAACTGAATAAACTTACTTAGATTCCTTTAATCCACTCTCCCAGGATGCGACCCCACACCAGTCAACTAACAACCAGGTAAAAACACTGCTAGTTGAACAGGGGCAACAGGTGTAAAGAAACATGCCTAACCTTTCTATTCATCTGGGGGTCGAACCCCGATCCCTCAGTGTGTGAGGTGAGGCCGCTACCAATTGATCCACATCCTACTTAGATCAAGGCTTACATTTCTAGTGAGCTCCTCAAAGCTCCAATCTGACAGTTTTAATAATGAAGATTTAGGCTATTCTCCATGGGGGAAGTGAAAAAGAATTCTTCCTCCGTAAGCCATGCGTGTAGTAAGAGGCGACTAAAATTTCGGGAGAAAGGGGCTAGTAACCCCTTTCTCCTGTATACATTACTAAATTTAAAGAGATAAACTTTCGTTTTTCTTTTTAGGTCACCCTGTCTCGGTGGGATATAACCTGTTTGTTGAAAAAAAAATAAGCTAGAAAGAAAAGATGGGATCTCAGGCCGAAATATTAAAAATCACATCAAGCTGATTTAAATATACATGTTTGACTTTATTGTGTTATCTTAAGTTAAATCTACATAACATCTGTGTGACCTCAATTCCACTGTATAAAAAAATGTATACTGTACCCAAAGTCTAAAAGCGTCCCGTAGCTCGATTGGTAGCGCACTCATCTCACACACTGAGGTTCAGTGGTCGATCCCTGGTACGGCTGGAAACATCAGGGACCTGCCGTCCCTGTTCACCTTTCAGTAAAATAGGTACCTGGGTGTTAGTCGACTGTTGTGGGTCGCATCCTTGGGACAACATTGACCTAATTTACCCGAAATGCTCTGCATAACAAGAGGTTTTTTAATATAGTAGCATGTCAGTGATGTCAGCTAGGACTGTATACCTTGTACTTGTACTTGCAGAAATAAAGATTATTATTATTACTATTATTATTTGCTTTCAGTATTCTGGTCAGCATGGAAAACTCTACGGACATTTCCCTCTGGCTTTCGAAGAGTGATGTTTGCCAGTTATATTTTAGTTTGACCGGGTTAAGCATTATCTGCTGGGACTCTTGAGGTTATTGATCTACAGCTCCTGGGGCTCTTGAGGGTGTTAACCTACAGTTCATGTGCCTTTTGCAGGGATCGAACTCCGGATTGTTTACTGTGTTCAGTGAAAAACTCCCAGGCCTCTTTCATTTGTAAATCTTCAGTTCCTGGACATTTAATGAGGGTCTCTTATGCCTGCTGATGACTGAAGTACACTTAATAGGCTCCTTGTTCTTGCCTTGTTTACTAACATTCAAGAATAATCTCACAGGATTGTAGATGAATGGTTCAGAGAACCGACCAAGAGTTGCACATGTGTCGAATTTATCAAGAATAATCTCCATTAAGGGTCTATTGCGACTGAAATAAACCGAGTGTATATATACTGAAATATAAATTCAGTGGCCACTTTATTAGGCGCATCTGTACACCTGCTCGTTAACGCAAATATGTATCCAGCCAATCACGTGTCAGCACCTCAGTGCCCACAAGCATGCAGAAAGACATGGTCCAGAGGTTCCGTTGTTGTTTTGAGACCGAACATCAGAATGCGGAAGAAATGTGATCTAAGTGAGTTTGACCTTGGAATGATTGTTGGTGCCTGACAGGGTGGGCTGAGTATCTCAGAAACTGCTGATTTCCTGGGATTTTCACGCACAACAGTCTCTAAGAGTTTACGGAGAATTGTGTGAAAAAACAAAACATCCAGTGAGCGGCAGTTCTGTGGGTGAAAACGCCTTGTTAATGAAAGGTTTCAGAGGAAAATGGTGAAACCGGTTCAAACTGACAGGAGGCTACAGTAACTCAATTACATTGGTGGTATGCAGAAGAGCATCTTTGAACACACAACGCGTCTAACCTTGAAGTTGATGGGGAAACAGCAGCAGAAGACTACACCAGGTTTCACTCCTGTCAGCTGAGAACAGGCAACTGAGGATGAAGAAAAACGTCGCATGATCTATTGCGATTTCTGCTGCTACATGCAGATGGTAGGGCCAGAATTTGGCGCAAACCTTTGGAATGTGATGGAACAGGAGATTCGCAGCATAAATGTGCAGCCGACAAATCTGCAGCAAGTACATGATGTAGTCACGGCACTATGAACCAGAATCTCTAAGAAATGTTTCCAGCTGTTCTGGGAGCCAAGATACGGAGGGTCTACCCAGTACTAGAAGGGTGTACCTAATAAAGTGGCCACTGAGTGTATTCCCTTCCAGGCGTACAATTTCTGTTGCTCTCAGTGCGCACACATTGAGGGAGATATGTCCAAAAGAATATATTAAGATATCACTTTTAATCAGCAGATATATCCTTCTCTATCACTATTTACAAGAACATATCAAGGGAACAGCATGATGCAACTGGTGACACTGTTATGCCACGCAGCTGTGCTCGTCTTCAAACCCACGATGTATTATTAGTATCATTGGAAATAAAAATAACAATAAGAGTAATAATTGTGATGATGACGATGGTGATGACAAACGAGCAATAAGTTCTTAACAGAGAAATCAGGTTCTCATGCGATGGTGTTATGTTTCACGACAGCTGTTTAACTTCATCACGTTCTTGATCGTATTTTTTTTATAACTTTACCACTATCTCCAAACTGAAATTGGCTGTGGGGGGGAAGAGCTTGGAGAACCACACCCACCTGTCGCTGTGTTGCCTCTTATATATAGCCAACATGTCTGTATACAGACATCAGTTGAGCTCACACCCTCACAAGTAACACAGCCATGAAGGTATCTCACCTAAAGTTCAGTCTGCAGACAAAGAGCTGTTACCTGAGCTCGAAGAATCAACCATGTTTAATGTACATTACCATCCCGCAATATACCACCCACAACAGCTAGCTAGATCCTAGGTAACCAATCATCTCCAAGGTGAACAGTGACACTTGAAATTCTCCACACGTCTCGACCAGACTGAGAGTCGAATCAGGCAACTTTCTTGAGACGATCTCTCTATACTAGACACGTACGTCTGTCACCACTAGACAGTAAGCTTGTGTACCACTGAACACAGGTCTTTATACCACAGAACACAGGTCTCTGTACCACTACACATATTTTTGTCAGCCTGAAAATGCATTTTTTCTTATGTGTTTCTGACTCTTTGTTAATTTTTAGACATACAGAAAGAACTGTCGCCGGCTTCAACACAGGCAATAAGGAGAATTGACTCTGATTTATCTAGTCAGAAGAGCAAGCGTTTAAACAAAAGTTTTTCCAAAAGCATTTCTATTGATCAAGCCAAAAAAAAAATAATTTTGCTGATAGTTTGGAATATTATCAAGAAGGTTAGACCTCTGTCATTTAATTTATCACTGAGGTAAATGTGTTTTGTTCCTCTCTACAG